ATTCTGTTTGTTTTATACATTATAAAAAAGTAGGATGACTAATGCAAAACCAGTCCAGGAGACTTTTCATCATCAAATATTTCTGAGTTCACATTTGTGCTAAACGTCAACGCAGGCATGATGGAGCCAAGACTGAGTGGAATGTCTTTGTCTGGCATTTAGACAGGTGCTTCCTTAGTGGCTCAGATGGTAAAGAATCTGTCTGCAATGCATGAGAGCAAGATTTGATCCCAGGGGCATATAGACACCCTGTGTCGTGACCCCAAACTACCTTCCCTTACCCCTGGCTGTAAGTGCCATCTGTATGCTGATGACGCTCTGAATTTAGGTCTCTCCACTCCTGACCTCAGTGGCAAGCTCCGTGTTTGTACACCTAAATGCCTTCTTTACCCTGCTGTCTAGTTGACTAATCGGCAAAACAGAACTCTCAAATTGTTTCTCAGCCACTCCTTAAACAGTTCTTTCCTTGGGTTCTCCGTCTCAGTAAATAGCATCACAGCTGCCCAGTTGCTCAGGCCCAAAACCCTCAGAATTTTCCTCTGTTTGGCTCATTCGATTATAACCTACGCCTACTCTCTCTGCTTTCCTAAGTACGTCTGAATCTCCTCCCTTCTGTCTCTGCCACAGTCCCCCCATCCAAGATCTCCTGACAAAGACTGCTCTAATAATCTTCTCACCAGCTCCCCTCCTCCACTCCTGCCCTCTGTGGTCTATTTTCCACAAAGCAGCCAATGGGAATTTTTAAATATAAATCAAATCATAATAATCTCCTACTCAAAACCCTTCAGTGTCTCCCCACAGGTTCAGTAGGACCACCAACTTCTAGAAGCTACGACGCTTTGCCTGATTGGCCCCTGCCTGTCTCTTTGTGATTAAATATATCAATCTCTTCCTTTACTGTTTTTATTTTCTTTTATGTATTCCTTTATAGCCTTGATGAATAAGTTCTTCCTACTGCAAGAACATAAGGACATGCTCTTCAATTTTTTTTCTAATCCAAATGCAATTGATTTTGGCATATGGTGTGATGAAAGCATTCAAGTTCATCTTTCCCCACATAGATAAAAATTACCTCGATTCCATTAACTGGTATTGACCCCCACTGGAAATTGCATTTCTGTGAATGGGTCTGCTTCTGGGTCTCAATTCTGTCTCATTGGTCTACTCTTTTACTGATCTGAACAAACACTGCATTATATTAATGATTATAACTTTACAGTAACTTTGGTATCTGATAAGGCAGTTTCCCCCACATCTTTTTCTTCTGCAGGGATGTCTTGGTTATTGTTGGATCTTTGCTTTTTTGCATACATTTCAGAATTAGTATTAATTATAAATCAGCATTGATTCAAACCAGAGTACTGCATTGACTTTATGAATTATATTGGTTGTAAGCTAGTATCTTTACAAATTGAGTCTTCCTATTCATAAATATGGTATACCTCTCAATTTGCTTCTCCTAATTAATAACTCTCCATATAGTTTTATAATTTCACCCATAATCTTTTGACAGACTTATCATTAGAGCCGACTCATTGGAAAAGACCCTGATGCTGGGAAAGATTGAAGGCAGGAGGAGAAGGGGGCAACAGAGGATGAGATGGCTGGATGGCATCACTGACTCCATGGACATGAGTTTGAGCAAGCTCCGGGAGTTGGTGAAGGACAGGGAAGCCTAGCGAGCTGCAGTCCATGGGGTCGCAAAGAGTTGGACAAGACTTAGCGACTGAACAGCAACAACAAAATTATTGGCTGACAAGATTTTATAGCTGTTAAAAGTATTATCATTTTAATGTATTTTCAAGGTGTTTACTGCTGGCTTCTTTATACTGATTTTAAATCAACCCAGTTTTTGACATGTTTTCAGATCTCATAATTTGTCCATAGTTTTTTTTTCTTTGAATTACCCTGTAAGAAATTACACTATGTGAAAATAATGCATGTATCATTTCTTGCCTCCTTTTCGGTTCCTCCTGTTTTCTGTTTTCTTTCTCCTTTTGTCCATCTCTTCTCGTCTTGCCATCTCCCGTCCCTCTCTCTTCACCCCTCCCCACTCCTTCTCCTGGACCAGTCAGGATCTCCAGAACGATGTTAAACAGAAGCGGTTACAATATGCAGTACTGTGTAAAACATGATGTTGAAGGAAACTTCTAATATTTCACCACTCCATACTGCATTTGTGGAAGATTTTTGTAGATCCACTGTATCAGAATAATGATTTCTAGCTTCCTAATCATTTGGCTTCCCAGGTGCTCAGTGGTAGAGAATATGCCTGCCAACGCTGGAGACACAGGAGACGTGGGTTCAATCCCTGGGTCGGGAAGATCCCCTGGAGAAGGAAATGGCAGCCCACTCCAGTATTCTTGCCTGGAGAATCCCATGGACAGAGGAGCCTGGTGGGCTACAGTCCATGGTTGTAGTTGCAAAGTCAGACACAACTGAGTTACCAAGTTCCCACGTAATACTGTTCATTATGAAGAGACCTGGAGGGAATCTGCTGGGAATCTGCATCTGTGGAGCTAGTCTCAATTTTGTCCTCAGAAATGAGGAAACACCTTGAGGACAAACTGCAAGCCGACTCAACGTCCACTCCCTTTGGTTCTGCTTTCTCTGCGTTAATGGCCTTTCAAGTCCTAGCAGCTTTGCATTCTGAACACCAACCGTCCTGCCTGTGGCAAGCCTCAAGCTGCCACTTTCTGTCCGTTTCCACACCCCATGGTCACAGGGCCTGAGTCAGCAGATTCTCCAGGGGGAGAACAGCAGCTGGAGAGAAAGGACCCTCTCTTAACCGCTTGGCCCTTCCAACCCTGGCAACCTTGACTCTCGGAGGCTCTCAGACTACTTTCCAGTTTATTTTATCCAGCTTCGCAGTTCCTCCCCGCACAGGTTATCCTGATATAAAATACTTCTTCACTGCCACAAATGGAAATGCCCTGCAAGGATTCTTTTTTTTCCCCCAAGAAATGTACCAGGTGGCGTATTTTCTTACTTAATGGAAATGTCTTTTTTTTTTTAATTTATTTATTTATTTATTTATTTTTATCACAACCATAGTGTATCTTTTTTTTTTTTTTTTTTTTACATGTATTCCCCATCCCGGTCCCCCCTCCCACCTCCCTCTCCACCCAATCCCTCTGGGTCTTCCCAGTGCACCAGGCCCGAGCACTTGTCTCATGCACCCAACCTGGGCTGGTGAACTGTTTCACCCTAGATAATATACGTGTTTCAATGCTGTTCTCTTGAAACATCCCACCCTCGCCTTCTCCCAGAGTCCACAAGTCTGTTCTATACATAGGAGTCTCTTTTTCTGTTTTGCACATAGGGTTATCGTTACCATCTTTCTAAATTCCATATATATGTGTTAGTATACTGTAATGGTCTTTATCTTTCTGGTTTACTTCGTTCTGTTGGCTTTAAACATGAAAGATAACTTGACACAGAACAAAATTCTTGGTTCACAAACACCTTCTCCTAAAGATTCTATAGATGTTTCTCCATATTCTTTTTGCATTTAATGTGTCAGAGGAAAATGCTTAGGTGAGTCCGATTTTTGTTTCTTTGTAACAGGTGTTAAAATTAATTAATGTTTCCAGCAAGACACCAAAAAGAATGGTATCAGTTACAAGGCAATGGCTGCATAGATTTTCTGAGTGAGTGGATAATAAGGAATTTCACAACTGGAGCCCTCCCACAAACAGGATGGGAAGTTGGGATAAATTGAAAGGAGGACATTTGCGTGTGGGGGTGGGGAGGGGAGGTGCCTTTGGAGTGTGAGTTCCACACTCTCTCACCTCAAGTGTGAGCTCAAGGGGGAGCTCAGTGGAACCCTCAAAGCCCCCGAGATGCCACCTATCTTGAGATTAGGCAATGCTTTCCACATTGCCTTCCATAAATGTTTGTATATTGACCATGTCTAAAAATTCATATCATATGGTCTCAACTAAATGAGGCATACACAGTAAAAATATTTTAAGAAATCATACCAAAAGGATTATAATGTGCTTGGAGTCCGGGGGATTTTTATTTTTGTCTTCACTTACTTCCTTATTTTCCAAAACATGTACATACAAGTTTTTATAATTAGAAATCGTGTTTTTAAATATCTAAGTACAATAAAAAATTTTTTACCATACACCATGTATGCTATGTATGTATGCATGTTTAATACACAATTATGTAAAAAATATTCATATAAAAACAAAAAACAATCCCGGACAGAACTTTTCCCCTCAAAAACCGTGATGTTCTCTGGCTAGTGATTTCTCTGTATGTTTTTATGTAATAGGCGGCGGGGGAGGGCTTCAGGAAACAGCGGTCCCATGCCTACAGTGGGTCTACCTGCTCGTCATGGGGTCTGAGGAGCATCTGCCGCGTTCTCCCCCGCCCCACCTCCAGGTGAGACCCTTTCATCCCGCCGCTTGCCTCCCCCTCCTTCCGTTCCCACGCACCCCACCGCCTCTCCCCTGGACCCCCAAGCCCCTCGCAGCCCACTTAGCTGGCCTGTGCTAGCATCTTTGCGTACTGCCGTCCACCTGACCGGCCCCTGCTTTGCGGTCCGGTCTCGCCTGCAGCCCGCAGCGCCCGCGGCGCGGGGATGCGACCCCAGGCCGAGCTCGAGGTGCGCTTGCCGCCATCGCGACTCAACTGACAGGCGCCCCGCTCCCCGCGCCCCTGCCCACCCTCCCCGGCCGCCCGCCCCGCTCCAGGAAGCCCCGGCCCCCAGCTGTGCCGGGACATCAGAGGAGGAAAGGGACCAGGCCACGCAGTGGCTCTCCCGGGTCAGCAGCAGAGCGGCGGGGCGGGGAGCGGCGGCCCCTGGCGCAGTCGGGTCCGGGGTCGAGGACCTGCAGTCGAGGTCCCAGCGCCCGCCCCACCCGGGACGCCTTCAGATGCGCAGCCAAGTGAACTGCGATGAGAAATGCATCCTCGGCCTCCCCTCATCCGCGGCCCAGATAGGCGCGTAGCAGAGGCCGGCGCTGGAGGGCCGCGCCCCGCGATGCTCAGGGTGGGGGCCAGGGCGGGGAGGTGTAGGCCCACCCGACAGTTTCTTCTCCAAAGGACCATGGGAAGCGCTCCCTGCGCCCCACGACCCTCGAGTGTGTAACTGGGCCCCCGACCAGGGCCTGTTCGCTGGCCACCAGCTCCCGCAGCCGCTTCGCAGCCGGAGCGCACGGCCCCTCCAGGCGCGGGGGTGGCCGGAGCCCGGCGGGTGGGGCAGCCCCTGGGTCCGGGGTGGCGAGGGGCCAGCGATGCAGGTTTCCGGAGGCCGCCGCGGCCCCTACCATCTGCGCACCGCGCGGACAGCCGCTGCGTGGGCCCCCGGCGCCGGCCTCCCCCGCGCGCTGCGGGCCGGCTCCACGTCGGGGCTGCGGGGAGGGGCCGCCCGCCGGGCTCGCTGCCCCCCAGACTCGGCATTTCTAAGTCGTTTCTCAAAGTCACCCTTTACACTGCCGGTCTGCTGCAGGCCGCGCAGCGCCGTGGGATGCGACGCCCTGGCCTCGGTGGGATGCGCCGCGTGTCTCCGCCGTTTCGCGGTGGAATCCGCGGCAGCCATCCGGGATGTTTGGGATCCAGGTCGGGCTCGCCCGGCCCCTCCGGCCCCGCAGGGCGCTGGCTCGCGGACCAACACCGCCATCTGGTGCTCGTGGTCAGCAGGTGCGGGCCTTGCCCGGAGAGCGGCGGGGTGACGTCAGGGTCCGCGTTTGCTCTGAAGCGGGCTCTGCGGCAGGGCCCGCGTCGCCGGAGTTCTTACCGCAGTCTTGCAAAGGAGTCATCGTGCCAGAGGCTTCGCCATAGGACCCAGGTTATATATATCGCCACTGAAACGTCCCTCTTTGACTGCAGTCTCTTCTAGGGCTGCTGGATTTGAAACTGAAAGGGACGGAGAGATGAAAAACCAGCCTTGACTCACAGCTCCGAAGCCCGCTCGTCTCCCAGGCGCAGGCCCGTCTGTCCCCCGCGTGTGACCTTCTCGTCGGGCCTGGGCCGAATCGGGTGGCAGGCAAGGAAGCAGCTGAGGGTGTCACCTGGGGTTGGGGCAAGGGGCGGAGAGGAGAGGAGACCACGGGGAAATCCTGGTCCCTTGACCCCAGCCAGCTTCTTCCTTCCAGGACTGCAGGGCACACCGCTCGCTTCCTGAAACGCTGGGGGCAGGGTCTCCCTCCAGCGCATTCTGACCCCGCCTCTGTTTTTCCCCTCTTTGCCCCTGACCAGAACCCCAGCTGACATCCTCAGCTGCTTCATGTCTGGCACCCGATTCGGCCAAGGCTCAAGGAGAAAGTCTTCCCTGACAGCTTCCCTGGTAGCTCAGTTGGTAAAGGATCCATCTGCAAGGCGGACCCGGTTCGATTCCTGGGTCGGGAAGGTCCGCTGCAGAAGGGATAGGCTACCCACGCCAGCATTCTTGGGCTTCCCTTGTGGCTCAGCTGGTAAAGAATCCGCCCGCAACGTGGGAGACCCGGGTTCTACCCTGGGTTGGGAAGATCTACTGGAGAAGGGATAGGCTACCCATTCTAGTATTCTGGCCTGGAGAATTTTGTGCACTGTATGGTCCAAGACCTCCAAAGAGTCTGACAGGACTAATCGACTTTCACTTTCATTCAATGAGAAAGTCACCATTCTGATTGGCTGGGAGGCAAATTTAGGTGATTGGCCTTGGGAGCGCTCCCTGCAGTTGAGTGCTTTCAACCTCTGTTGATTCCTGCAGTGCAGACGCACCAAATGTTTCCTTCTGATCTTCAGCTCTTGCCCGTACAATACTTCACCTTGTGAAAAACAAATTCTCCCATCTTCCAGAGATGAAGTTCCCCACATGGGAGCTTCCTCCATGTTGCTCTTTTGCCTTTAGAATGTTTGTATCATCTCTTGTATCATCTGTCAAGGTGGGGGCCTGGGGCAGGGTGGGGGTGGGGGTGGGGGTGGGGGTCCTTTGTCTTTTTCCAAACCAAATACCTACTTTTACCTCTAACATGAAAATACTAAGCCCAAACAAAACAGGAAGGAAAAATAACTCAAAGGAGAAAAAAATCAAGAAGCTGAAGGAAAGTTTAAGAAACTATCAATAATAGTCTCAGGTGCATGGGGGAAAGAAAGATATCACATACCAGAGAGAGATGCCACAAGAAAAGGAATGTTAGGAAGAAAGGGGGGGAAGCCTCTTGGAAATTAAAAGATATGATTGAAACAATGACATATTCAAAGGAAGAGTTCAGATCACACTCTAGGGAGGCCCCAGAAAGTTGAACAAAAAGGCAGAAAGACACATGATTAAAAATTAGAAACATAGCAACCACATAAGTCAGAGGCAAAATCAGCTACATGATTTGAAAGGCTCAGCACAAGATGGTAATGTGGGCGCCCTTGTTTAAAACTGACTAGGATGTTCAAGGGTGTTAAAGCCAACATGGGGCAGGGTCCAGAGGACTGTGTCCGCTGGACCCTGCCCCATTCCTCACAATTCAGGGGTGTCAGGAACCTATGGCGGTAGGAGTCCTGATCGGAACTTTGAACCATGAGAGCACTGCCTGTTAGACTGTTTAGGGGTTGGCGGAAGGCAAGAGGGCCGTATCAGCCCCGGGGGCTTGAAGCTGAGTCATCCAAAACAAAGCCTTGTTGTTTAGTCGCTCAGTCACATCCAACCCTTTGCGAGCCCGTGGACTGCAGCCCACCAGGCTCCTCTGTCCATGGGATTTCCCAGGCAAGAAGACTGGAATGAGTTGCCATTTCCTTTTCCAAAGGATCTTCCCGACCCGGAGGTGGAACCTTTGGCCTCTCTTACATCTCCTGCATTGGCAGTCAGGTTCTTTGTCACTAGCACCACCTAGGGAGCCCTTGTAATATGTAGTTGCTAGAAAAATATGTAAATGTAGCTCGTGTTGTATTTTCATTGGATGGCACTGGTCTGAAGAGATTTATTACTGAGCCAGTCAATAACCTAGTTACTTCTATATTTTGTTTCTTTCTTTCTTATCACAAGGTCTCGGGACCGCAGGCTTGGCCCTGGCTGTATCCTTCAGTGTCCAAAATAGAAAACAGAAATCACGTTAGGTGTTTTGAAAGGCTAGAGATTTGCTATGGGGAGTTAGGTTGCCAGATTGTTATAAAGGCCAGAACAGCAAAACAGGAGGGTGGCGGGTCCTGAAATCCAGAGCTGCGGAAAGCTGCTGCCCCCTCTGCAGGAGCCAGAGCTCCGGCGAGCCCACTCCACTCCCCTGCACTGCTCTTCAGCAGCCCCAAGAGCTCACAGCAAGCTCAGGCCGCCCCAGGCCAGAGGCTGCCCGCCTGGAGATGCGGGTCGTGTTGCGGCCGTTGGCACGCGGCAGCAGGCAGGCACCCTCCACCATCACTGAGCTGGTGTGAGACAGGGCCTGCCAGAAACATAACGGCCTCGATCTCACTCCTTCTAGCTTCTGCGGATGCCTCCAGCAGGCAGACTTAAGCAGCATTCAGCTGGTAATGGAGTCTGAAAAAGGTAGTTTGCAAGCTTCCAGTCCTGGAGGTGAGAAGGAAAGGAAGGTAGACCAAGGCACAGAGGTTTCCTATAGAATCTCTTCTAGATGCTGAAACTGGCAGATGTGGTGGAATGTACCGGGAGGGAAGTCTTGGGCTGAACGGGAATGAATCATTGATGCTGTTGTTGTTCAGTCGGTAAGTCGTGTCCCACTCTCTGAGACCCCACGGATGGCAGGACACCAGGCTTCCTCGTCCTTCACATCTCCCAGAGTTTGCTCAAATTCGTGTCCATTGAGTCAGTGATGCCATCCAGCCATCTCGCCCTCTGCCACCCGCTTCTCCTCCTGCCCTCCATCTTTCCCAGTGTCAGGATCTTTTTCAATGAGTTGGCTCTTAGCATCAGGTGACCAAAGTACTGGAGTTTCAGCTTCAGCCACAGTCCTTTCAATAAATATTCAGGGTTGATTTCTTTAAGGATTGACTGGTTTGATCTTGCAATCCAAGGGAGTCTCCAGAGCCTGAGAGTCTTATTGATAGTGACACAATAGTCTTATTGATAGCGACAGGGAAAACTAAGAGAGCAATAACAATGTAAAAATACGTCAACTATAAACTCCAGGAGAAGCAAAAAGTTCTACAATAAAGGAAATATAATCACGGTGCTTGACTAGGTTCAGCTGTGAATTAACATGTCTGTGGTCAGAATAATATAAATTCCTAATATAAATTTACCAAAAATGATATATAATTTTATTGGTATGAAGGGGCATGTAAAATAGGCAGGTGTGAATTTGAGCTCCAAATCTTCATCCCCCCCATGGTAGAAATTCAACACATAAAAGCAAATCTTGGAGAGAAAATCAAGATGTAGCAGTACAAGATCATCATGTGTATGTTTGAAGCTTTGTCCTCAAGGAAGCAACTGAATAGTTAGAACAGGAAGTGAGGATCTAAATGAGGATGAGGCAATGACACTGTCCTTTGGGATGATAAGCTCTTGGGAATTAGATCATTTGTTTTCCTTTTAAAAACAAAATTTAGCATCTTTTTTATTTCGTATATAAGGAAACCTCCCCACCCCCAACCCTTCACTTCTCATAGAGTATGCATTGTACACACAAATTTATGGTAATAATGAAAACGCAATTACTGTCAGAGTTAAGCAATGCTTGACAGCCCTGAGTGGCATGATTTATTTATGGAAGGAAAGTTGACTGGGCAGGAACTAATTATTATCTTTAGCTAATATTCTTTACCATAAATTCATATCAGCTTAATTGTACTTTGGGTGAGCAACTGAGGTTACAAATATGCAGCATTCTGTTTCAGACTACCTTGCCATGACAAGATTGTTAATTAGGTAACTTTGAAATCTATGTTAATTCTTTGACACTGAATTGTATCTGGAGTATGACATTTACCGCTCACCAAATGTCCACCTCTTATAATCAGGTAGGTCCGTGTGACATTCTGGCCAATAGGCCACGCGTGGAAGTGATTCGAGTCCCTTCTAAATGAAAGCACTTAGGAACCAGGATTCAACTGGCCAGCCCTCTGTCCCCAACCTTGGTGACTGTTGAGAAGAGCGTTGTGAGGTGGCAGCAGCGCCCTGGGTTGCTGAGTCAACCCGGGGAGAGTGGGTACCCTGAGAGTCACCCATCACCCAGTGCCCCTTAAGTGGCTGAGAAATAAGCTGTTACTGTTTTTACCCCCTTGAGATTGCAGCATGCATGTGTCACTGAAACATAGTCCAGTCTATCTGACACAATGTTCTTTTGATATGCTGTTTATAGAAAACACTTTCTAATCCACCATCATAAATCCATCACCCCGTGTAATTAAAGCATGATTCTAATGGGAGCAATGGGCCTACGCACTCCCCCCCCACCCCGCCCCACCGAGGCTCCTAGGATGACTTTCTTTAAGGTGGTCGCAGGAGAAGGAGGAGGCAGGTGGTCACTTGACGAATCTTGGGTCTGTGTGACATTACCTCACCAGGGCGGGAGCTAGGCCGGTAAAGGAGCATCCCTGGTGTTCTAGCTGACAGCCCACCAAGGAAACAGAATACGAGGGGTTAGACTGTTTAGACTGAGTCAAACATTTCAATCAATCAATCAATAACATTAATTCAAAGCCTGCTGAGTTCAGTGTGTTGAGCCAAGCACAACATCAGACTGAAATGAGGGAGAGATATGTTTGTTTCCCCCAACAGAGGAAAGAACTGCTGTGAGAAAGGAATGCTCAACGTTCCTATAAAACAGCATCTCAACAAATACCCAACAGCATACTTCAAATTTCCACGCCCCTGGATTTTTAGCTAACTTGTTCCTTGATGCTTCATCTCAACTACATTGTAACAGTCTGATTGCAGAACCCATGGCTCACCTGTTTCTTTTGGATTTTTTTTTTAACATCTGCAGAATCCATGGTAGAACCTGGTTCTACTGAGCGCTTCCCTTATGGAGTGCAGTTTCATCCTTGTGGGAGCTCGTGGAGGGTCGGGGCAAGAGTGTAAATCTTGTTTTAAAAAAATTTTTTTAATGTAATTCCAGGAGATGGGGTGTGGGTGAAATGGGGAAAGGGGGTTGAAAGGTACAAATTTCGGGTTATAAAATAAATAAGTCATGGGGATGTAATGCACCATATGGTGACTAAGGAAAAAAAAAAGTAATTCCAGACTTTTGCATTAAGTTCATGGGCTATTTGGTCTCCACTTCCAA